CCATTCGTCCACCATCCATCCATCCATCCATCCATCCATCCATCCATCCATCCATCTATCCATCCATCGCAACATCCATCCATCCCCCTTACCATCTACCTCAGCCAACCACAATGCAACCCCCTCCCCAGTAACCACCATCCATCCATCCGCAACCCGCTATCCAACATCAATCAGCCGCCCCATCCACCCCGTCCATCCACCCCTCACTTCCCAGGAGCCGTAAGCACCGTCCTTACCCTGTGTATCCTCAGTCCACCATGCACTCTAATGCACCATCTATCCTCCATCCATCCACCCATCATTCCTCCATCCATCCACCGTTCATCCACGCGTCCTCCCACGATCCGACAACCATCTACCACCACGCCCATTCACCGTCATCCCCCACCCATCCAGCCATCCATCCATTCATCCTTCCATCTTAGCCACTCGGACTTTCAACCCCATCTCCCGGTGCCGGCGTCGCGCCGCGGGCTGATGTTGTTCAAGGTCTTGGGGCCGAAAGTGCTCTGCCCCCCTCCCTTGACTCCGAATGTGCAAAAAGAGGCAAAGGTATAATTTCGCTGCGTCTCCATGCCGGTTTCGCCCACTCTCTCCACATGGTTCTTTTGCATGGGCGGGCTGCCACGCCACACGGGCCCGTCGGCCGAAGCAAGGCGCTCTTGGCGAAGCGTCATGGTGTCCATCGTGGAAGCGTAGGAGGAGGCTTTGGGCGGCGCTAGGGGAGTCGAGACGGTTCTCGAACGATTTTTATGGGGATCCTCAGAAGCACTGGGGGATTTTTGCGTGCTTCCTTGGGCAGGAGGGAGACGAGGAGACGTTGGCAGGAGGGAGAAGAGGGGGCGTCTCCTCTCTCCCCGCCGCCCAGGGCCCATCTGCCCCGTCGTGTTCATCGGGGACGGCCGCTGTGGCAAGTCCTACCTCGCGTCGCGGCTGGTGGGCACGCACGAGGCGTTCGTCTCCTCCGACTCCTGCGAGGCGGTCACCGAAGGCGAACGGCAGCACGAGACATGCTTTGGCGCGGGGAGGAGACGAGGCAGAGGGCAAGGACGAGGAGGAGGAGGAGGAGGAGGAGGAGGAGGAGGAGGAGGAACAGGAGGCGGAGGAGGAGGAGGAGGAGGAGAAACGTAGAACGATGAGGAGAAAACTTCGTGGGACCCTCTTGGGGCCTCCTGGGGGCCGCCTGGGAGCCTCCTGAGGGGCCTCTGGGGCCTCTTGGGGGCCTCTTGGGGGCCTCTTGAGGCCCCTTGGGGGGGGGCCTCTTGGGGCCTCTTGGGCTGTCTTCGGGGAGTCTTGGCTTGTCTGACGCCTTCGAAGGCCGTCTTGGAGGCCTCTCTGAGCCGTCTTGGTGCCCTCTTAGAGCGTTTTAGGGCCGTCTTGGGGCCCTCTTGGGACCCTCTTCGGCGATCTTGGAGTCTTTTTCGGCTTACTCGGGGCCCCTCATGGGCTATCTTGGAGTTATCTTGGAAGCCCCTTGGGCCGTCTTGTGTGGTCGGAAACCCAAATAGGCGAGGATCTAAACAATCCTTCAAACACCGAAGAACAAATCAATGTTTTTTTTTCCTTGGGTTTTCCTGGAGGGCCTCTTGGAGCCCTCTTGGGACGTCTTGGGGGCCTCTGGGGCCGTCGTGAGGCCGTCTTGGGAGCCTCTTGATCCGTCTTGGGCTATCTTCGGCCGTATTGGTTTCGTATTGACTGTCTTGGAAGCCGTCCTGGATACCACCTTGGCCTTTTGGAGGCCGAACAAAGCACCGGAAAGCAATTTCAGAGGGGGCGATGTTCGAACGACGCGTGCAAGGATGGGGGGGCTTATGAAACATGCCAAAACCATCCCAGACAACAGACGAGAATTCTAACACGCCTACTCCGTGCAGGCACGGTGGCGGATAAACAGAACGACGAAAGCTTGTCTCTCTATATTTACCGAGCCATTTTGGCTCAAGGTCGCCCAGGCATCCTTCGTGTGGGTAACTTTTCCCATGTACATCCTCAAACTTCCTCCCTCTTACACTTCTCCTAAACACATTTACGCTTGTCACACAGATTTCGAGTATTTCTGGGTGGGGCTCGTGTCGCTCGCCAGTGACGTGGAGATGCCGGCTGAAAAACATCATATTGGTACTCAGTGAAAAGTGCGCTCAAACAGGCCAGGATGGGGAGCAGTCCACCACAAGAGCCACAGCCTGTGGCACAATACCATGGAGCGCTAGCAGTACGACAACTACAAATTCAGGAATACATTGAGGCTACGGCGGACCAGCCCTTTACCGCCAAGGGGTTTGAGACGATATTGAACCACCACCTGGACCCCTATCAAGCAGGACATTCAAGCCATCAAAACACACGGAGTATCACAAAAACATTCACAAGAGGTTGTAAACCCGATCAAAAGCGAACTGGACGAGTTGACAAAACGAGTAGGCTCGCTGGAAACACTACTCTTTCCGGCCGGCTTCGGCAAGATCGGCCTCCGGAGCGTCCGTGGACTTCGATACACAGGCGAAGCTCGGAGAACTTGAACTTGAACTCGCCCGTCTCCGTGAAGTGGGAAGCAAACATACTGGTCCACGTACTTCCACTAACCTGGACGAGCAGCGTGACCGTGACACAGCCGTGGCCCTTCTCAGGAGCGCCCGTCTTCAACGCAATGGCAAGCATAGATGGGTTTCGCCCGACTGTCCGCCAACGGAGCGTGCAGCACGCAACTTTTGCGTCGGATTGAAATATTTATTGAAGGATACATTCGAACTCCCCTACATCATCAACGTCACCGACGCTTCTCCTTACGAGGTCACGGTGGGTGGGGAGCTCTCTCTTACCGTAAACGTGGATGGCATGAGCGTGCAGAAACAATGGTCCGAAACATGGGAAATTAGAAAGAATTGCAAGACCACGCTCGGCTCAAAGTGCTGGCAGACAGCTGTGATGACTTGGCTAGCCAGGCGGGGAAGGGCATGAAAGGGCAGCCCAAAGGCCATTCCAAAGGGCAATCGGAAAAAGGGCAGGTGTCAAGCCAGGTCCGTCTTGACATTGGAGCCGGTTTGAACGGGCCACGTCTTCTCCCACATGATTTTCCCATTTCTGGACATATCTTGTGCAAAGTTACCGATCTACCCAAACCCGTGGAATCTTTTTCAGCTTATGCTTATACTTTTTCTGCCGCTGGCACATCTTCAAGCAATGTGGTGCCAGGCGTGGCACTTTCATATTGTGTCTTCGTCTTCATTTCACGGTATTCCCTCTTCATACCAATTTTCCCCACCACCACGGGGCATCTCGACATGCCAGGTTTCATTGACGCGCTCTTCCATATCCGATCGTAATGGCTTAGGCCTCGATGTGAAAGCGGAACTCTTGGCACCCAGTCTTTAGGCGTTTGCATTGTCGAGGACCTCCGCGAGGACTCACGAGTCGAGCTTGCAGAAAGTACGACGGCAGTGGTTGCTCAGTGAATCGACATCTTGGCTCTGCAGGGGACCGACCTGCGTGATTGTGAATATTTGGATTATGGTGGTTTTATGGTGTGTCTACTTGGAGAGCCTGACAAAGAAGAGCGTTATGCGGCAGGGGTCGGCTTCATCGTGGCTCTCTGGGCCCGCTCGGCAACTGTTGCTGTCCGAACGATCTCGCCAGATGCGGGTCCAGATGCGACATTGTGTAATTGTAATCGTATCCGCCTACGGCTGTCAGAGCGATTGCGATTGCGAAGTTCGCCAATCGTTCGTGGCGTATTTGTTGAGGGCAGTACGGTCGACAAGGTAACGCAGCACTGCAATAGTATTGGGTGATCTAAACGCTAAGTTTCTGCAGCGACGACCCGGCGAAGAAGCACTGACGAGCGCCTATTTGTGGCAGATGGTTTACCCGGGTGTGTACACCGGTATCACATATCGAACCAGACACTTCTATTTCAGCATAGCGTGGCAACGGACATGTCCATCGCGAGCAAGTTTTTTTCGACGCTCTTCCTGAACAGCGCGTCGCATGCGGAAATCTTCATGTACTGCCCATGGATCCCGATTTTACCTAGGAGAAGTTCGCTTAGATCGACGATGTTCTTTGCCGCGTATGCAATCTTCCTTGTGCCAGATTTTTCAGATCACACTGGGCCGTGGCTCTCAACAACCACCACTATTTGATGACAGTGGCGATTGGGGCTCAATTTCAAATCAAGACTGCTCGCGCGCAGAATGAAATCGACAAGGTTTCGGTGCGTGACCAGACGATCCAGACTGAGATGACGCGCCTCTTCCTCGATTCTTGGAAATCAAGATGTGTCTCGAACAGCTCCCTCAACCGGTTGGCAAATCAGGTGAACGACGGATTTGCTGCCGCACCCAGCGTCCAGATGAGCAGGCGGCAATCTGCACGTAGGACGTGGATATCTCAAGATACGCTGCAGCTCAGTGAAAAACGAAGCGTTTCACGAGAATGCCGGGGTGTCAACGAAGAGCGAGCGCTGAACAGGCGCATTCGGAAAGCTGCTCGGATGGACCGCGCAAGTTGGATTCATCAGACGTCGGTTGGTGGCAGCTGTGGCGCAGTCGCAAAGCTGAGGAACAAGCCGCGCAGAAATTGTGTTGGAGCACGATCAGCTTACTGATGCCGCTGCCAGGCCAGGTGCTGTAGCCGATTATTTCGAACGAGTGCGCTGGGAAGTGCAATTTGCAGACGTGGCGCCAACGGCTTCGAATTCATCAAGTTTTGCGTTGCTCGTGGTCGTGTCCAACTTCAGTATGGTTGAACTACAAGATGTATGGGCGACAATGGAGTGGGGAACCGGCAGGGCCAGATGGTGCGCCGCTGGGTTTTTGGAAAATTTTGTCTCGAGATGAGGGTGCATGCGAAGCATCATTGGAAGTCTGTCAGCGATGTTGGGGCGCAGAAGATATTCCAGACACGTGGCGGAGAGCGAACGTCATGTTGCGTTTCATGAAGGGGGGTGCCCATGTGCCGAGTTATTATTGTCCAATTCATGCTTGTCTGTGGGGTATAAAGCTATGGTGGCCATGCTGCGTCGGCGACTTCTACGATGAGGGGTGGTGGCGCCCGACGGTCTCAATTTGGATTTTGCCTTTGACGCGGTGCGGCCGACGCGCTTATGTTGGCGAGGTGCATGATTGACGCAGCGTCGTTAAGCAGCGGTGGTGGTATGATTTCGCTCCATCTTGATTGGGCAAAAGCTTTCGACCGCTTGTGGCCGGGCTGCCCATGCGCTGCTCTGGCTCGCTTCGGATTGCCGCCGCCGATGGTCACGCGGCCGTTGTGGACCGTTGCGGGGGGCTTCAGAACAACGTCAAGCAGCTGGCATCGCGCAGACAGTCATGCTACGCATTTCTTTTTGTGATCTTCGTATTGGCCCGGAACCGGATTGCGTGGCCATGCAGGGCGCGTCGTATGCAGGCGGCGCCGCGCTTGTATCTCAGAGCGCCGAGAGTTTACGAGGCACGTTGGAAGCAATTCTGTTGGAAGGGAAGAAGTACGGTCTCGAGCTCAATTGGGATAAAACTGCGCAGATACAAATGTCGACCGGACACTTATGTAAAAAAACAGGTGTGCATCTGATCACAATAGTGGAGCAAACCTTCTATCCGGGGGACTGGTAACTAACGGTGGTTGCGTGGTTAACTAACGCTGGTCGCATGGGTCACTAACGATGGTCGCGTGGGGGAGCCAGTTCAATATTTCAAGAACAGTGTAAAACATAGAAACATTTGGTATTGGAGTGAAACGAATGTTTCAAACATGTTCATCTTGCGTGCTGAGCAAATTGTTGTACTGGCTTGACTCATTGTGGCTGTTGAAAAAAAAGGACAGCGACCGGCTGGGCTGGTTGAGAGGATAGCGTTTTTCCCCACATGCTTCGTGGGGTTCTGGTTTTCTTCCCTTTCGCGTCTCACCCGCGTGTCCTCCTCGTTCTCCTCCCTCTCCTTCTCCTTCTTTCTCACCTTGCGCACATCACAGCACGCGCGCACGGCAGGCGCGCACATGAGTCACGCGTGGCACACTTCACAACACAGCGCAGCGCAGCACAACACAGCGCTGCTCAGCACAGCTCAGCTCGGCACAGCACAGCACAGGAGTGGCACTTTCTCGGCACCAGAGACGGTGCGCAGGGGGTGGTCTCTCACCGCGGCGTCTGTGCGTGCCAGGGTCGGAGAGCGTGGCAGGCGTGGCACTTTCTCGACACCAGGGGGGGGTGCGCAGGGGGTGGTCTCTCACCGCGGCGTCTATGCGTGCCAGGGTCGGAGAGCGTGGCAGGCGTGGCACTTTCTCGACACCAGGGGGGGTGCGCAGGGGGTGGTCTTTCACCGCGGCGTCGATGCGTGCCAGGGTCGGATAGCGTGGCAGGCGTGGCACTTTCTCGACACCAGGGGGGGGTGCGCAGGGGGTGGTCTCTCACCGCGGCGTCTATGCGTGCCAGGGTCGGAGAGCGTGGCAGGCGTGGCACATTCTCGACACCACAGGGGTGCGCAGGGGTGGTCTCTCACACGACGGTCGTTGCACAGGGGGTGCGCAGGGGTGGTCTCTCACCGCGGCCGCTATGCACGACGGTCGTCCAGGCACAGCAGGCGTGGCACATTCTCGACACCACAGGGGGTGCGCAGGGGGTGGTCTCTCACCGCGGCCGCTATGCACGACGGTCGTCCAGGCACAGCAGGCGTGGCACATTCTCGACACCACAGGGGGTGCGCAGGGTGGTGGTCTCGTCACCGCGGCCGCTATGCACGACGGTCGTCCAGGCACAGCAGGCGTGGCACTTTCTCGACACCACAGGGGGTGCGCAGGGGGTGGTCTCTCACCGCGGCCGCTATGCACGACGGTCGTCCAGGCACAGCAGGCGTGGCACTTTCTCGACACCACAGGGGCTGTGCAGGGGGTGGTCTCTCACCGCGGCCGCTATGCACGACGGTCGTCCAGGCACAGCAGGCGTGGCACATTCTCGACACCACAGGGGCTGTGCAGGGGGTGGTCTCTCACCGCGGCCGCTATGCACGACGGTCGTCCAGGCACAGCAGGCGTGGCACTTTCTCGACACCACAGGGGCTGTGCAGGGGGTGGTATCTCACCGTGCACGACGGTCGTCCAGGCACAGCAGGCGTGGCACTTTCTCGACACCACAGGGGGTGCGCGTCGTCCAGGCACAGCAGGCGTGGCACATCCTCGACACCACAGGGGGTGCGCACGGGGTGGTCTCTCACCGCGGCCGCTATGCACGACGGTCGTCCAGGCACAGCAGGCGTGGCACTTTCTCGACACCACAGGGGGTGCGCAGGGGGTGGCCTCTCACCGCGGCCGCTATGCACGACGGTCGTTCAGGCACAGCATGCGTGGCACTTTCTCGACACCACAGGGGGTGCGCAGGGGGTGGTCCCTCACCGCGGCCGCTATGCACGACGGTCGTCCATGCACAGCAGGCGTGGCACTTTCTCGACACCACAGGGGGTGCGCAGGGGGTGGTCTCTCACCGCGGCCGCTATGCACGACGGTCGTCCAGGCACAGCGCGTGGCACTTTCTCGACACCACAGGGTGGTCTCTCACCGCGGCCGCTATGCACGACGGTCGTCCAGGCACAGCAGGCGTGGCACTTTCTCGAAACCACAGGGGGTGCGCAGGGGGTGGTCTCTCACCGCGGCCGCTATGCACGACGGTCGTTCAGGCACAGCAGGCGTGGCACTTTCTCGACGCCACTGGGGGTGCGCAGGGGGTGGTCTCTCACCGCGGCCGCTATGCACGACGGTCGTCCAGGCACAGCAGGCGTGGCACTTTCTCGACACCACAGGGGGTGCGCAGGGGGTGGTCTCTCACTGAGGTCGCTATGCACGACGGTCGTCCAGGCACAGCAGGCGTGGCACTTCTCGACACCATAGAGGGTGCGCAGGGGGTGGTCTCTCACCGCGGCCGCTATGCACGACGGTCGTCCAGGCACAGCAGGCGTGGCACTTTCTCGACACCACAGGGGGTGCGCAGGGGGTGGTCTCTCACCGCGGCCGCTATGCACGACGGTCGTCCAGGCACAGCAGGCGTGGCACTTTCTCGAAACCACAGGGGGTGCGCAGGGGGTGGTCTCTCACCGCGGCCGCTATGCACGACGGTCGTCCAGGCACAGCAGGCGTGGCACTTTCTCGACACCACAGGGGGTGCGCATGGGGTGGTCTCTCACTGAGGTCGCTATGCACGACGGTCGTCCAGGGCATAGCAAGCGTGGCGTTTTCTCGACGCCAGACGGGGGTGCGCAGGGGGTGGTCCTTCACCGCGGCCGCTGGCTGGCTCGAATCTGTCCTCGAGGGAGGATAGAAGGCTGGGAAGAGGGAGGAGGTTCAAGCAATATGGCGTTGAATGACACATAGGGGAACATTTGCGACGAAGGCTCAGAACGCAGAGTTGCGCAGATATTCTAAACTTCAGCAACCACAGAAGATTTAAACTAAGTATGTGGGGTTCCTCGGTCGGTAGCGTAATCTTACTTTCCCAGAACTTCGAAAACTACAGTGCTCGATAATGCCGGCTCCAAGCCGTTGTCCGCGGTTTAACGCGGCCGGAAAACATATTTGTGCGAGGACGTTGCTTCTCGTACTGACGCCTCACTGGTCAAACAACTAGTGTGCGGTACCGACGGTGCCCTTAAGAACTGTGCTCTCCGCAGGCGCCGGGGCCGCCCGAGGCAGCAATGGGCGATGCCAGCTGACAAGCTGTTGTAAGTCCCTCCCCTCTCCCGCCTTGTCCTCCTCCCGTGCTTGTGCACTTGTACATGCTGTTGTATGTTGTTCCGCCCAATTTGCCCACGCGTCTGTCAGGGATGCTCGGTTTCAGTCAGTCAGTCAGTCAATAACGTCTGACGGATTTACCAGTTATCGACGAGGGTCCAACGGCATCTGAATTTGCCGCACGAGACGAGTATGACCGCACGACAAACGAAGGGTGTTATGCCAGTGCGAGAGGTTGACAGGAACTTTCCAGGGAGGCGATTTGTTTCAGACCTGGGCCACTATTATCTTAATCGCAGTATCCGGAGGCGCGCTACTAGAGTTCTTTATCTTTCGGGCCATCGGAGAAAGAGGAGGACAGGTTGGTGGAGTGGCACGAAAGGCAGGGGGGGCATGAAAGCGACTGGGGTGGGGAGACAGGAACATGGTGATGATGATGAGGAGGAGAGATCGTGCGAATACGGAGGGGGGAAGGAGCGGAAAGGAGGATAAATGGGAGGAAGAGGAAAAGGACTTCGAGGAGCATAAGGGCATAAGGACGTGCAGGATGGGGATGATGCAGATCAGGTGCAGGGGATGACGGAGATGTGGTTTTGGCGGTGTTGGTGGGAGGGGAGGAAAACGATGAGGAGTAAAAAATGGGATGAGGAGGTGGTGGATGATTGGCACTCACCATTTCTAGGTTCGCTCATACCAGGCTTGGACGCGGGTGTCTTTCTTGCCTCGGTCCTGTTCGGCTGGGTGGTAAGAATGTTGGGAACCCCTGTGGCACTTGTCGGTTCACACCCTTCCTTCCTCACCCTCCTCACGTCCCCTCTCCTCTGTCCCCCTCGGCCTCCTCCATTTCGCCTGCTTCGCCCTCCCCTCCCTTATCTCTTCTCCCCTTCCCTTTCCTTCTCCATCATTGGAAGCGAGGAAGCGGAGGAGGAGGATGGGGAAATTGTGGGGTAGGAGGGGAAGGAGAGGAAGGGGGGGGGGCGTTTGGAACGGTGCAGTATCCCGAGTGTTTGGCGTGTGTCAGGACCCGCCCGCACGTGTAGGCTTCCGTGCGAGGGGCTGTGCGTCTTGGCTACCCCTCCTCCCGTTCTGCGTCCTGATCATTCTTATTCTAATCGCCCCGCCGGTTCCTCCTCCTCCTCTTCCTCCTCCTCCTCTTCCTCTTCCTGCCACTCCTCCTTCCGATCTTCGCGAGGGCGTCGGGCTCATGTAAGCATATGATGCATATGAGGCCAGACAGGGTGGATCGCACGCTTTTACCCCATGGCCGCCCGTGGCCCCCAGATCCCTCTTCCCCCCAACAGTGCTTGCACTCCATATCCTCTTACGCATCCCAGTGAAGTAAAGGGTTGGGTGACCTGGGTCTTCGCCACGCCGCGGGCCTCGTGGGCACCTCGTGGGCACCTCGTGGGCGTTCCCCGCGCCTGGGGGGGGTATGCCGATGCTGCGCCACGTGGCCGCCCGTGCCGCCTCGTGGGTGGGCGCCCCGCGCTTGGGGGGGTGGGTAGGCCGAGGTTGCGCCAGGTTGCCGCCTCGTGGCCGCCCCGTGGGCGCCTCGTGGTCGCCGCCCCGCACTTTGGGGGGGGGGGTATGCCGATGTTGCGCCACGTTGCCGCCCGTGCCGGGCCTCGTGGCGCGCCTCGTGGACGCGCCCCCCACACAGCTTACCTCGCACAGCCTGCACAGCACAGCGTACATCACACATAGCTTACGCTCCGTGGCTTCCACCTCCAGTTCGCACCGCACAGCTTACGCGACGTGGCTCTGCTCGTAGGCAACCCCGCGCAGTTTTCACCTCCATAGCTCAAGCCGCATGCCGTACACGACATAGCTTTCACCACATGGTTGACACCGCACATCTTCCGCCTGCAACAACGCCCTGTTTGGGGTCCACGCTGGCTAACATTGCACTTTGGCCAGGCAAATGGTTTCGGTAATCAACGACCGTGTCCGATAAGGGGCGCCTGAGTCTTTGGAAGTTGTGTGACTCTAGTCTGGTTCGGGGATCCCGCTGGGTCAGGGGCACGTCAGTCAGTCAGTCATCCTCCCACTCGTCAGAACGCTGCCCCCTCTTTCCTTCAGGCTTTCATCCCGCTTCCCCTTCGCTTCCTCGTTCTCCTCTCCTCTCCGTCCTCGTCGTCCTCGTCGTCCTCGTCGTCCTCTTCCTCGTCGGCCTCGTCGTCGTCGTCGTCGTCGTCGTCGCCGTCGTCGTCGTCGTCGTTGTCGTCGTCGTCGTCGTCGTCGTCGTCGTCGTCGTCGTCCCTCTCCTCCAAGGCATCGACATTGCTGTGGCGGCGCAGACGGGCGACACGGCGGGCACGATCCTCGTGATGGACTGCGAGGGCGCCAACAACGCCATGGCCGAGGTCCGCATCCTGGTCAACGTGTTTGCGGTGCTCTGCTGCACGCAGGCCGCGCGCGGGGAGAGCCGTCGGGAGAGGGGGAGCACGTGCCCGCTGTCAGGGCCTCCAAGTGCGGGTCCAGTTCCAGGCTTTGGGCGCCGGGCCCTGACCCAGGGCCAGGTGGCCCTGTCCCGAAGGTGGGCCTGTGGAGGCTGGTTCAAACATTGGACCAGTGAGCCCCCCCCAAAACAAAAACAAAGACAACAACAAAACAACAACAAACAACAAAACAAACAACAACAAGCAAACAAACACAAACAACAAACAAAACAAACCCCAAAAAAGAGGGATGGGGTCCCGAGGACGAGGTGGTTGAAACAGGGAAGGTTCCTCATGGGATCCTTTTCCATTCCTTGGGGCCCTGTCCCTCAGTGCCCCATCTCGGAGCCGCCGACCTCTCTCCTGGAGGAGGCTGGGGGAGAGGGAGGGGGGATAGGGGGGGATAGGGACTCTAAACCCTAAATCCTAAACCCTAAACCTTGAATCCTAAACAACCTTTTTCACATATTAGTTTAAAACCTAAACTGAAAAGTTACCCTTGGTGTCCGCCCTGGGGGGGCTAATTCCTAAACCCCCCATTCCATGCGTGCCAGCACACGGATTCTGCCCTCCCGCATGGCGGCTAATTCCTCACCCCCCTATCCCATGCGTGCCCGCTCGAGGATCGCGCCCCTCTGCCCTGGGGGGCGAATTCCTAAACCCCCATTCCATGCCTGCCCGCACACGGATTCTGCCCCTCCCGCATGGCTGCTAATTCCTAAACCCCTTCTCCCATGCGTGCCCGCTCGAGGATCGCGCCCCTTCTGCCCTGGGGGGCTAATTCCTAAACTCTCATTCCATGCGTGCCCGCACGCGGAGTCTGCACCTCCCGCGTGGGGGTTGATTCTTGAACCCCCTACCCCATGCGTGCCCGCTCGAGGATCGCGCCCCCCCCGCTCAAGGATCGCGCCACTCCCGCGCGGCGGCTACTTCCAAACCCGCTCATTCCATGCGTGCCCGCTCCAGGATCGTGCCCCTGCCGTTCGAGGATCGCGCCCGATCCCGCGTGGCGGCTAATTCCTAAACCCTCATCCCACGCGTGCCCGCTCGAGGATCGGGCCCCTTCTGCTCGGGAGTGCCCCCCTCCAGACACTCCGAAACGATGTCGCGCGCTCCTCCCGAGGGCCGCCGCGCGCTCCTGTGCTGTTCCTCCTGCCTGCTGTTCCTCCCGCGTGCTTCGCGCTGCTCTTTCCTGCTCCTCGCTGATCCACGCGGCCTTCCCCGATGGCTTGCATGCGCCGGAGCGTGTGTCTTGATATGTACTGGGTTTCTAGGGTGGGTGGGATGTGAGCACCGCGCCAGTGTGTGACACGTCCAGTATGTTGACAACTTCGCGCTCTTGTTGGCCCTGAACCCTAAGCCCCGAACCCTAAGAACTAAACCCTAGACCCTAAGAACTAAGAGCCTATAGAGATTTAAACCCTGAAATGCCTCAGCCCGTCCCAAAGCCGCCCCTTATGCCGCCCCCCCATTTCGGCGCACCCCTCACGCAGCTCCTTGCCCTCGGAGTGCCAGGAATGGTGTCCCCCATTTCGGCGCACCCCTCACGCAGATCCTTGCCTTCGGATTGCCAGGAAGGGTACTCTGGGAGCTCTGGCAAATCGCACAGGCTTCGCAGAGGCTTCCGCGCAGCTTCCGCGGCCGTTCGCGGCGAGGATGCCGCGGCGAGAGACACTGGAGGTCGTCGCCGAACGGACACTGCTGCCGCCGGGGCATTGCAGAAGATGCCGCCTCGGGAGCCTCGAGACGGAGGTCAATGCAAACGGGGGTCAGCCAGGGCGCCATATCCTGCAGGATCCTGCGAAGACCCCCTCTGGCTGACCCGGGTTAGGGAGCCGCTCGTGGCCGCGAGGCGGCCGCGACTATTGGCTGACTTGGATTTGCGAAGACCTGCGTTGCAGTTTTTTTTTTTTGTTTTTTTTTTTTTTTTGTTTTTTGTTTTTTCCTGCATTGCAGTTTTTGGTTTCCTGCTGACCCGGGTCTGGATTGACCCGGGTCAGAAGATCGCCGACCGCCGTCCTTCCGTCGCTGTAAGCCTACCGCGGAGCATGCCGACGCAACGAGCCGCCTCGGGCACAGCCTTCCCTCCCCCTCTCCAAAGGCTCTCTACGCCGCGTCAACACAATGCGCCGAGCGATGCGCAGAGGGCGAGGGGCGAGACAGAAGCGCGCACAGGGCTCTCGCAGCGTCAGTCCGTCCACTAGACCGAGCCGATGCATCGCCCGTGCATCCACTGTCGCGCGCCGCGTCGCACTTCCAAGGATGCAAACGTGGGAACCCCGTTCGTGGAAGGAACGAACCGCCCCGCGCGTTTTGCGTCAATCTGGTTTATGCATCGCCCAAGCATCGGCAAGGTGCTCCGGGGTGCCGTTTTGTCGCTTCGCGCGCGCGCGTCGTAACGCCCTTGCATCGGCCTTCGCGCACCGCGCCGCAGTGCTAAGGATGCGAACTGGGGATCCGTCCCCTCGAGGCAACGAGCTATCCCGCGCTCGTTGCGCAGCCGCTCCATGCAATCTCACCGCCGCTGGGCGGCGTCCCTGCGACGCACAGGGACTCGCGCAAATATACGTTGTTCTTCAAATCGCGTTGTCGCGCGCGCGTGCCGCATCGCCGTTGCAGCGGTTTCCCAGAAGACTTTGCGCGACTGTCGTCGTCGTCGTCGTCGTCGTCGTCGTCGTCGTCGTCGTTTTGAGATCAGTATCGTCGTCTTCGTCATCGGTATCGTCGTCGTCGTTTTGAGATCAAGATGTCTTGGGTCATGGGTGGGTGGGACACGTCCAATATCACCAGCCTCGAACTTATCCCTATCCCTAAGATTGACATGCTAAAAGGAGATGATAATCTTAGGGATACACCCGCAGAAATTTAGGAAATCCCTAAGATCGCCATCGTGATGGGGCGATGCCCAACATAGGGATAGGGATATGTTCCAGGCTGGTAATTCACAATAGGCTTCAAGTTTGGGCTAGTGGACCGTAAACCCTAACCCCAAAGGGGAGTGAGAAAGGGCTGCTGGTCTCTCCGCCTTCGACCGGAGGGGCTCGGGTGGCCCCAGGGGCTGCCTCGACAGGAGGTGGCCGCAGGTGGCCGCCTCTGCCTCGCCGTGCCGCGGCGCTCCTTCCCGTGCCGCGCCGCGTGCTGCCGTGCCCCGGTGTCGTGCTGTGCTTCTGGTCCCGCGCGTGCCGCAGGCGCGGGGCCGGGTCCCGTGGGCTTGCAGGGCTGGTGGGGTGCCTTGCGCACGCCGTCTCGGGTTGGTGGGCGGGGCAGCTCCTCCTCCTCTCCCCGCCCCCCTCCCCATCTTTTCCTCTCCTCGGCTTTCCTCGGCTTCTACCTTCTGCTTCCATGACGTTCAGCCGCGCGGGGGACGCGAGCGTACAGGGCCGAGGAGGGGCCTGGCAATGATCGGTGTGGGTGTGTGTGTGTGTGTGTGTCGCACCCTCCTGCCCCCTTCCTTCTCTCCTCTCCTCCTGGGTCCTTCGGGGTGGCCGGCTCCAATCCCCTAGGATGCAACCCCTGGGAGGTTCAGCTCAGAATCGGCGCTGGTGTGTCCCTTGGCCGTCAACGGGCCCAATCATGTTGAATCCCATTTAATCCGGCTTACTTCTGTTGAATCCAGCGGACTCCCGACTAATCCGGCTCAGTCGCGGCTTCAATCCAACCTCATCCGGCTCAGTGGCTTTCTCATCGGGCTTCACAGCCCTTGCTCGCCCCGACGGGCACCTCCTCCCAGGGAGCTGCCTCCCGACCTCCCTGGCAGGTCGTCTTCGTGGTGAACAGCATGCTCTCCGAGTCGGCGCTCGACACCCTCGCCACCACCCTGGCCGCGAGGCAGATGCTGAAGCTCGACAAGGAGCCGGCGCGGGCGCCCGTGCTCGGAGGGCACCAACTATATACACCAACACCGATCCTGGCCCAGGATCGCCCTGGGCCCAGGATCGGTGTAGATGCCCTCTTGCGCAAGGCAGGAGGGCGTATACACCTCATGCGATGCTTAAGAAAACCTAAGTTTCCGGCCAGAGTGTCGATTATTCTTACCGTTTCAATGTGAATCCCAAGATTTTGATAGAAGTTCTGGGTTTTTAGTTAGTCAAATTCTGAGACTATGAATTTCTTAACCCATGATTTCTTAAGCATTTCGCAGGGTGTATATGCCCTCTTGCGCAAGGCAGGAGGGCGTATACACCGATCCTGGGCCCAGGGTGATCCTGGCCGGGATCGGTGTGGGTGTAGAGTTGGTGCCTCCCTACGTGCCGCCGCGCGGCGGTGCCCACCCGGGGACCGTGTGGTGCCCATTGGAGCGGCCGTGCAGTGCCTCCAGACAGGCCAATGGGGCGGCGAGGTCCGCTCCCTCCTTCGCCTGCACACGAATATACCTACTCCAGCTTTCGTAGTAAACAGCAGGGGGTCTGGACCCTCCAAGACAAGCCATTTCAGACCTCCCCCGTGGGAGAACCCTCCAAAACATCGTCCCCAGACCCCCCCCAGGCACTCCAAGATAGCCTGGAAGAGACCCCCCCCGGAATGAGACCCCCCTCCCTTATTCAGGAGGGGAAGAAGCACACAGACACAATGAATCGGCGATTCCCAGAACATAGCATATGGGAAACTATGGGAAGGGGGGGGGAAGACAGAAACCCAGAAAACATGGGAAAATATGGGGAACACTTTTATTTGTGTGTATTTATTTGTGTGTCCCAGTTCCCCTTCAAATATACCCATACGACCACACTGCGGGTGAGAAGGAGGTTTTTGGGGGGGGAGGGGGCCAGCAATGGGCAACAAAGGTGATTGGTGTTCTGACGACGCCAGTGGAGACTGTCGCGTTGCCGCTCTCTCTATTGGGAGCCTTGGTGTCGAGTTCTTTACGTCACCCTTCGCTCTTGGGCGCCTTGGTACCAGTCCCCCCCCTCCACCCCCCCGGGAACTAATGAAATAATAGATTATTTTGTTCATTTTGCAAGGGCTTGGAGGGCCGGTTGGGCGCGTCTTTTGGACCTCTTGGGGGGCTCTTGGGGGCCTCTTGGGGGGCTCTTGGGGGCCTCTTGTGTGCCTCTTGGAAGCCTTTCGGGGATGGCGCTCGATCGATCTCACTCGATCGATATCACTCCATCGATCTCACTATCGATCTCACGATCGATCTCTCGATCGATCTCACTCGATCGATCTCACTATCGATCTCACTCAATCGATCTCACCATAGATCCCACTATCGCTCTCACTATCGATCCCACAATCGATCTCACCATCGATCTCACTCGATCGATCTCACTATCGATCTCACTATCGATTTCACAATCGATCTCACAATCGATCTCACTATCGGTCTCACTATCGTTTTCGCACCAGCGGGACACCGGGACACCAGCGGGACACCGGCGGGACACCGGCGGGACACCGGCGGGACACCGGCGGGACACCGGCGGGACACCGCGGGGCCCCGTTTGCTGGGGGGGGAGTCATTTTGTCTGGCCGCGCCTCAGCCACAGGAGATTTTCTTCTCGCCCGCCCACGCAGCTTCGCCTCGCCCGCACGCACGGCACGCATGAACACGAAACCGAAACCGATTTCCCGGTGGGGGGCTCTCCGTTCCACTTCGATCTCACCCCCCAACCTCCGACGGTAGGTTCGCGTCGTGTCGACCGGCGGCGATTCCAGCGCGGGCGTGTAAGGTTGAACGCCGCCCGTGGCCGTGGCCCAGAATCGGCCAATCGTTGAACGATCTGACGTTTCGGAAACGGCGGATCGTTCAAGGTAGAACATACCACCGACTTCGGCAACCAACGCCGAAGTCGGTGGTATGTGTACGATCACAGTCATTTGTTGTATACTAATATGTATGCTTGTATTTATTCATGTATGTGGGAGGTTCGGGGGTGAGATCGCAGTGAAACGGAGACCCCCCACCGGGAAATCGGTTTCGGTTTCGTGTCGTGCGTGCGGGCGAGGCGAAGCTGCGTGTGATCCTCCTGTAGCTAGGCCGAAGTAGGAGCGAAAGTCCGTTCCCGTCCGCCGGTGGCTGGGAGGTGTCCCAGTTGGGCCGGGCGGTGTCCCGGGTGTCCCGGTTGTCAGTAGGAGCGAAAGTCCGTTTCCCGTCCGCCGGTGGCCGGGAGGTGTTGGACCGGGCGGTGTCCCAGGTGTCCCGGGTGTCCTGGGCGTCCCGGCGCTAAAGCATGTCGCTTATTTCATAATTCATTTTTTTCTGCGCCTGCGGCGGGCTTTCTTATCCAATCCAGCTTATCTTATCCAATCGATCTTGTCCAATCCAATCCATCTTACCTTATCCAACCCATCTTGTCCCATCTTATCGTCTTCCACCCAATCCAATCCACCCATCCCAATCCATCAATTCATTTGTTTCTGCGCCTGCGGCGGGCCAATCAAGTCCATCTTATCTTATCCAATCCATTTCTTCCAATCCAACCCATCTTATTTTATCCAATCCATCTTATCCCATCCAATCCAATCCACCCAACCCAATCCATCAATTCATTTTCGTCGGCGCCTGCGGCGGGCTTTCTTATCCAATCGAGCTTATCTTATCCAATCCATCTTGTCCAATCCAATCTATCTTATCTTATCCAATCCATCTTGTCCCATCTGATCTCATCCCACCCAATCCAATCCATTCAACCCAATCCATCAATTCATTTGTTTCTGCGCCTGCGGCGGGCCAGTCCAATCCATCTTATCTTATCCAGTCCATTTCTTTTAATCCAACCCGAGAGAGAGAGAGAGAGAGAGGGCGAGGGAGAGAGAGAGAGAGACAGAGAGAGGGAGAGAGAGAGACAGACAGAAAAAGAGAGATGAGATCAAGGTGACAGGCTGGAGGTCAGTCAGGGTGGGCATTTGATCTCAATCCCCCCCAACCTCCTTATCGCCCGCAGGGCGGTCGTATAGGTATGCGTATGTTGGCCAGCGTGGCCCCAAGCAGTGGGTTCTTGCGCTCCTGATGTGCGCTCTGCGTGGTGCAATCTATGTGGTGCTGTCTATGCGGTGCCAATATCTTCTGCGCGGCTTGGGAGCCGTCAACTCCATTGCTCGTGCAAACATCCCGCCATCCAACTCGCAACCCGTCGGCAAAGCTCATCTGGGCATGATCTCAACGAGCGCACGGGCGCGCGGAACTCAACCGTTCCAAGAAGTTCGTCCTCCAGGTCGCGGGATGGCGATGGTGACGATCGCGACGCCAATGACGATGGCGATGACAGGGGTGATGACGCTGATGCCGATGGCGACGACAGTGAAGATGGGGACGATGCGATGTCGAGGACGACGATATTGATAGTGATGCGATGGAGGTGATGAGTTGATGACGATGGCAGCGATAACGCCTGCAATGATGACGGCGGTCCTGGTGGTAGTGATGGTGATGACGATGACGATGACGAGGACGTGCCCGCTCGCAGATCTTTGTCGAGGGCGACGACGGTGACGATGCCAACGTCGTTTGAAGTGGTGATGATCCCGACGATGAGACGATGATGACGACGATGATGTTGATGACGATGACGATGATGATGATGATGATGATGACGATAACGGTGATGCTGATGCTGATGATGATGATGGTGACGATGACGATTCTGATGATGCTGATGATGAATCTGCTGTTGATGTTGATCACGATGGCGATGACGACGACGATGACGATGACGATGACTATGTTTATGATCAATGACGATGACGACGATGATGATGATCAGTGACGATGACGACGATGACGATGTTGATGACGATGACGATGCCGATGATGATGATGATGATGATGATGATGATGATGATGATGATGATGATGATGATGATGATGATGACGATGACGATGACGATGACGATGATGCTGCTGCTGATGAGGATGAGGATGATGATGTTGATGATGGTGACGATGATGATTCTGGTGATGCTGATGATGATGCTGCTGATGATGATGACGATGGCAACCGCGACGCTGCCGATGATGATAACGATTGCGCTGACGAGGGTGCCGAGAGAGTGCGGTCTCGCATACGTCAAGACATCCAGACATGCTTCCAGCGTGCGCGTGCGGAGACGTGCGCGCGTGGCCCGCATGGGATTACTTGGCAGACTGGGTGGGCGCGCGGCGGTGGCATGCACGTTTTCGAAATGCACGCGCATGTGGCCAGGATGCTCTGCAATATAACGTATCAAAGCCCATGGTTCTCTTGAGAGTCCAGCGGGTGCGCGCGCACATGATTCTGGCAATTCCCATGTTAGCAATGTTCGTCAGCGTTGACCCCAAACGGTGTGTTGTAGCATGCCAGGTGATGCAACACATGTGGTGGCAAGCTATATGGGGCAAGCTATGTGGTGGAAGCCAGGTTGTGCAACCTACTTGATGCAAGCACAATGGTGCAAGCTATGTGGTGCATGCTATGTGAGGCAATACGTGTAGGATGAGCTATGCGGTGTAAGGTACGTGGTGCAATCTATGTGTTAGTAGCTAACGTACTCATCTATGTGGTGCGAGCTATATGATGTAAGCAACGTGTTGCCATCCACGTCGTGCGATCTGTGGGGTGTGAGCTATGTGGTGCAAGCTATGTGGTGAAATCAGAGTGGTGCAACATATGCAGTACAATTTATGTGATGCGAGCTATCATGCTTCAAGCGATGCAGCGCAATCTACATGATGCGGTGTGAGCTATGTGGTGTAGGCTATGTGGTGCTTTGCTATGCAAGCAATGCACAGCACTGCCAAGCAATGCAACAGGATTCAACGCACTGCACAGCAATGCAACGCAATGCGAAACAGTGAGAAGCATTGCGCACTCACGCCGAGCAAGAACAAGCAACGCAACGCAAAGCAATGTAAAGCACGACGCAGCAATGCAA